GGATAGATAGAAATTTGAACTCCTATTTTAAGTCATTCTTGTCTAACTTTCCATCAACATCTCTTCTTCTGTTTCCCACAATACATTTCAAAGAGAGAAACTATTGTATGACCAAGTCAATTGAGAAAAAAATAATAATAAATGAACAATAAAGACATGATGTTACTCCATTTCATCTTCCATAAGACAAGAAGGGACACTTTAATCAAGCGAAACCAAGTTGTATGAATGCAGTAAATTTTAGTGCATTTTTTTACGGAATTTATATAATCATAAAATGTCAAGACGTGTCATTGAACCAATTATGAGAACAGTTAATAGAGAAACCAATTATGAGAATGCAATAAATTTGTATGCAATTTTTCTATGGAATTTATACAATCATAAAATGTCAATATTCCAAGTTAGTAATTAGTTGTCAATTCTGCTATTTTCAAACTTGTTAGGTACACTATAGTTTTCACATTTTTAAGTTAATGAGGGAAAATCCATCAATATTCTATTCCACCTAAGGAAAAAAGTGATACAGTATTGTAACTAGCGGACGATGACTTGTAAGCCTTTGAGCCAATTTCCACTAAGACTAGAGGAAAAAAAAAGATTATGATGAATCGGGACTGATGAACAATTGAATTACAGGATGAGTACTACTTACTTCTAGCAACTTGTTACTTCATATTTTGTAGTGTTCCACAAGACTTTTTAGAGGATGGAGAAGACTTAATAAAATAATACCCCCTATGTACTCATTTTCTCTAGACGATTAGTTGTCTCTTGTGTTGTTTCCATAGACTCTCGACTCAAGATAAAGGTGTAGTGATCTACACTACATCAAAAATGATCTTTAGGGGTAATTAATTAACGGCTATAGCTTAATCGCTACTAAACATGTATTTTTAGAGGCAATTAGCACTTTTTATAAGTGTCCCTAAAGCCTATAGAGACATTGAATCTAATGACAATTAATTAATACCAGTAAAGGTTTTAGTCACTCTTTGTTAATGTGTATATTTATTGCCTGCTAAAGTTATTTTTTATCGTAGACTTGTAGTGAAATGTAGCCTATGACCACTGATTCCCACGTAAATCCACTGATTAATTTATTCACTTTTGTCATTTTATTTTAAAATGTAATGTTTTATATTTGTTTTAAAGTGTCTACTTGGGAGAGCAAAAATGATGCTCAAAGGGAAGAAGAAAAGCATAGACTTATTAGCAACACAAAACAGAGAAATGAATAAAAGAAAAAGAGACTCTTTTTTTGTATTCACCAAATAACGGGATGTTCTATTCTTACAAAATCAGGGATCAGAGTATGTAAGAGAAACTCGATGATACGCAAAGCAGAAGAATACAAAATAATAATAAAACTATATAGTTAAAAGTATTTGAACATTCTAACTTGTTAGATACACAAGACTTTTCACATTAAGTTAATGAGGGAAACTCCATTATTCTTCATATATAGGACCATCTCGTATTAACTAGCAGACGATGACTTCTAAGTCTTTAAGCCAAATTCATGATATGCTTGAAGTGTGATTCATCAATTACTAGTGATTACCATAAGCTACAGCAGTACTAGATGATTAAGCAATGCTACTCTTTCTATTTCATGCTTCTTCTATACTTGTGCTGTTTTTTCAAGACTTTTCGCATTTAGTTAATGAGGGAAAAGCAGAACAGTTCACTAATTAGTCCACAAAATCAAACAAAGACAAATTAGCCCTATCAATCCTCCATTAAATCCTTCGTCTCTGAGCTCTCTTCTTTGGCCTTCTTCTTTTCTGAGGCATGAGTCCATCAAAAAATTCCACAAACCATTTTGGCTTACGATATTTAAACATGAGACTCCACATGACAGTTCCAACAACTAGTCCAAAACTGTAGCCTATGACTACTGATTCCCATGTAAATCCACTAAAAAATATGACTCGCCTTCTTCTTCTTCGGACTCCAATTGTTGAGGAACATGCGATGAATCACTCGTTCCACATTTCTTTGTCAAAGGAAGACCACATAGATCAAGGTTGCCACCATACGAGTCATTTTCAAATGTGTTGAATTGTAGACCGTGAGGAATTGGTCCGACAAGATGGTTTTGAGAGAGGTTTAAGAAAGCCAGAAAGTTCATTCTTGTCAATTCCTGCGGAATCTTTCCAATGAGCCGATTCCAGGAGAGATCTATGGTTGTCATAATTGTGCTGATTCTTTCTAGCTCAATATCCTGCCCTTTGATCACCAAACTCACCGAATCCTCATACGATCTGACAACTAACGCATTCAACGTAGATTTCATGTACTTGATCTCTCTTGTGTCTTCGTCATCTAATTTGATCATTGCCTTGAAGTTTCCAAAAACTTTTGCAGGAAGGATTACCATTTATGACAATGGTACTCAACGAAGTGCTGTGTGCACATAATGGGGGAAGACTCCCTGTGAAATTGTTCCTTCTTAAGTCCAGCACCGTTAGATTAGGCATGCTTCCCAAGCAATGTGGAACTGAGTCACTGAAGTAGTTGTGTGATAAATCTAATAAGATAAGTTTCCTCATGTTACAAATGGATAAAGCTAGTGGACCCTGAAGGTAGTTAAATTTCAGATCAAGATACTGTAGGTTATCGTAACGAAATTGTGGTAGGTGGCCTGTTAATGAATTTTGAGAAAGGTTTAGGAACTGCAACGAGTCCCACCTCATGCCACTAAACCAGTTAGGGATTTGACCACAAATCTTATTGTTAGAAATATCCAAGTACACAAGTGTCTTTACATTTCTCAAGAAGTGTGGAAAATCCTTCAGTTCACAAGATGATAAGAATAAAGATGATAGTCTATGAAAGGTGATATTCATTCCCCCATCAATGGTGATGTTATTTGATGAAATTCCAAGGGTTTCAAGGTTTGTGAGATTCACAAGTGATTGAGGAAAAGAACCACTGAGTTGATTATTGCTTAATTGCAGTTGTTTTAATGTTGGGTTTGTTTTGATCACTTCATCGGCTAGTCCTCTGAATCGGTTATGTTGGAGCGACACTGAAGATAGCAAAGGTAGGCTAAACACCCAAGATGGTATGGTACCATTCAGTGAGTTGTATGACAAATTCAGTTCGGTTAGCTTTTGAAGCATGCTTTGGTTGCTAGGCAGTGGGCCAGATAGGGAATTACTCGACAATCCTAAGTATTCAAGATGTGTCAAACTTAAAATTGAAGCGGGAAACGAACCGATGAAGCTGTTATAAGAAAGATGTAAAGTACGTAGCTCTTGGAGGTTTGAGAAAACATCAGGAATTTCACCTGAAAAGGAGTTAATTGAAAGATCCAAACGTGTGAGGTGCTTCAATTTAGAGATTGTGGAAGGAATATGGCCAGTGAAATGATTATGATATAAAATCAACTCCCTAATTTGTGTTTGGTTGCTAATGGAATCAGGAATGGAACCAGAGAATTGGCATCCTGCAAGGTTCAAGATATTCAAGGAACTGAAGGTGCCAATTGAATCAGGCACCTCACCAGAGATGCCTGTGGATGAAATATCCAACTCCATTAACAGAGTGTTGCTCCAGTGGATCTTTGGAAAAACTCCTTTGACAAGATCATTCCCACTCAATTTGAGTATTTCCAAGTTTGGCACAAGGAAAAAGCTCTCTGTGAGAACACCTCGCAGATTAGTATATCCAAGATCCAGGTACCTTAAGGATGAAGAAATATTAACAGGTATCGGAGATGAGATGTTGACACCATAGAGAGAAAGTAGCTCCAGATTTGTCAAGTTCTGAAACATTGCTTCAAATGTTCTCTCATCAAGTTGTAATTTTTCATAACTATAAGAAAGATCAAGTGAAACCAAATTGGAAAGGTGTGAGATTTCTGTTGGGATTTTCCCTTGAAATTCATAGAGTTTTAGATGCCTCAAATTCCTCAATCGGCCAATGCCATTTGGGATTGAAGAAGGATAAAAGAAATTGTTAACAAGGTTTAGTGTGTGGAGATGATGAAGCTGGAAGAGGCTGCTATTGGGATGAATACTTACAGGTATCGGTGACGAGATGTTGCCAAGAAAGAGAGCTAGTACCTCCAGATTTGTAAAGTTGTGAAGCATTGTTTCAAATGTTCTCTCATCAAGTTGTAATCCATAACTATAAGAAAGATCAAGTGAAACCAAATTGGAAAGGAATGAGATTTCTGTTGGGATTTTCCCACTAAAGAAAGAATTAGAAAGGTTGAGATGCCTCAAATTCCTCAATCGGCCAATGTTATGTGAGATTGAAGAAGTTGAAAAGTTATTGTAAGCAAGGTTTAGTGTTTGGAGATGATGAAGTTGGAAGAGGCTGCTATTGGGATGAATACTTCCACGAAGCTGACTACAGCTAAGGTCTAACCCGATAACATGACCGTTTAATAAGTCACAAGTGACTCCATCCCAACTGCAGCAATCCCTACTCTCATTCCAAGACTTTGTTTTTGGGAAAGAAGTATCACACTGAAGAGTAGAGTAATCAGATATTTTAAAGGATTGCTTAAACTGAAGCAAAGCAGAAACTTCAGTGGGAGAGCAAAGATGATGATCAAAGGATGAAGAAAAGCATTCACTTAATAAAAACACAAAACATAGAAATGAATAAAAGAAAAACAGACTCATGACCATTTTTTGTTTGTTTGTGTTCAGGATGGATGTGTTCTTCTTACAAATCAGTCAGTATCATCCATACATATATATACTAGTTCTAAGTGTCCTATGTATATTGAATACCTATAACATAATGATTAATGTAATCTTACGAGTAAAGTTTCAAGAAGGTAGGATATACACAGACCTTTATGAAGGAAGAGTACAAACAACAAAAAAATTCAATGAAAAAATATAATATAAAGTTAGAATAACCAAATCTTACTCAGGGCACGTCTGCCTAGGCGTCACGCATCGCGTAAAAAAAAAAATCAAATCTTACTCAAAACATTAAGGAGATTAAACAATGGTATTAAAAATCAACTTGTTACTCATATATTGTAGTGTTCCACAATACTTTTTAGAGTACGGAGAAGACTTAACGAAATAATACTCTTTATGTCCTAATTTTCTCTAGATGTTGAGTTCATTTTGAGGTCATTAACTATCGCTGCAGTGTGTGTTAGGCAAGATGATGTGAATTTGGTCCCATTATGTGGAATTGTTTTTTGCTGAACTTCTAAGAAATTTCCAATGAGAGAAACTATTTCTTGACTAAGTCAAGTGAGGAAAAAAATGAACAATAATACCGTGTGGAATTTTTTTTTAATTTTTTTATTTGCTTTTTATTCAAAATTTTGTTTGATATGTGTCTTAATTTCCTGCATAATTAGAAATTTTATGAGAAATTTCCGATTAGTTGTCTCTTGTGTTGTTTTCCAAGACTTTTCACATTTAGTTAATGAGGGAAACTCCATCTATATGATACAGTTCAAACATGAAAGAGATGGAGAATAACCAAAGTAGTAGAGAGGCTGTTTTCGTAGACCCTCGACTCAAGATAAAGGTGTAGTGATCGACACTACATCAAAAAAGTTGTTTTTGTGGTATAATTGTAGTGAACTGTATCCTATTCAACTTATATTGTTATCATTGCAAGGCACATTAAGGAAAAGGGCATGATATATCCCTCAACTTTGTCATTTTAGAGTTAATATACCCGTTGTTACAAAAGTGGCTTCACATATATCCCTACTTGTACAAAAATTACTTTTTTTATTTTTTTTATTTTTAAGAAAATCATGTTGTGGTATATTTAATTTGTTCACACATAAATTATTTTCTCTTTCATCTTTACTGTAAAAGTGTGAATAGAAAAAGAGAATGAAACATATCCAGACAAATAAAATGGGGTATTTGCCCCCACATCTACCACTAACTAATTTGTGATTGCAAAAAAGTTGTCCAAAGTGTTTTAAGTCATTTTCCAGAAAGACTCAAGTCTTCAAATTTTGTTTGATAGTACCAATTATATATACAATATTCATTTTGTCCAACTTTGGCATAAAGGGAGAAAAAATAATACAACCTTGGCATCACTAACTACACAACTTGTGGTCCATGGATGAGTACTACTCACTTCTAACAACTTGTTACTTCATATTTTGTAGTGTTCCACAAGACTTTTTAGAGGACGGAGAAGACTTAACAAAATAATACCCCTTATGTCCTCATTTTCTCAAGATGTTGTTGTTCATTTCGAGGTCATTAACTATTTCTGCATTGTTTGTTACGCAAGATGATGTGAAATTGGTCCCGTATGTAACACTCACTGTAGAAAATAGTCTAGATCTTGTAATGTCTAGAACCATCCCCACATAAGTATAAATAGGGGTGGCCTCAGTCATTTGTATACAACTCAAGAACAACCCAAATAAAAGAGTCTTATTCCATAAACAAGTTCTTTCTAGCTTCCTCTTCTTTAGTTGAATATTCCGATCTTTTATAGTTAATGATCTTGGGCTAGCAGATTATACTTTTCTTCTGCTATTCTCTACAGTTCCATAAAGATAACTACCACTAAGGTCTAGACTGATAAATAACCCATGAACAACATGAGCCCCACAGGTGGATGCAGCCTTTTCCTGTTGTGTTGTACTAAGTCAATAGCTCAAAAAAACATTGGATTATACAAAGCGTTCCTAAAAGCTATTATGAGAAATTTCCAAGTTGGTGTTTGATTAGTTGTCTCTTGTGCTGTTTTCAAACTTGTTAGTTACACATGAGTTTTCACATTAAGTTAATGAGGGAAACTCCATTATTCTTCATAGGACCGTCTCGTATTTAATTAAGCAACAAAGAAAAAAGGGGTACTTTACTGCAACTATCAGACGATGACTTCTAAGTCTTTAGGCAAATTTCCGCGAAGACTAACCAGAGTCGGTTTTTGCATTATCTAGATGAAGCTTAATCTAGATAATAGATACAAAAAATTTAATACACAAAGGCCTCTTGGAAAAGCAGGTTATATTATGCAAGATTCATATACTACTACTTATTCAGAAGTGAAAAATGTAAAAATATAGCATACACATTCTTTACAGAAATATAAGCTCTTAAACAAGAAGAAAAATAAATTTAGTATAATAATGATAGGACATGTTGCCTTATTTTATTTATAAATATAAGATGTTAAACAAGAAAGAAATAAAAGTAAAGCTAATTCAACATTCTAATTCCACCACCAGAGAGACTTGACTTGGTCAATATTTAATGTTAAAGATTGCAGAGAAATTGTATCAGAAATTCCTGATTAGTTGTTTTCAAACATGTTAGGTACATTCTATAATTTTCCACAACACTTTTCACTTTTCTAGTTTTTTTGTAGTAGAAAAAACTTAATGGGGACAAAGTTGATACTTTACAGCTAGCTAGTTTGCACTCTATATATCTCAAGATCTGGTTCAATATCACACTATATAGTACATTCTGTCTTTCATTTTACGTAACACTATTTCCTATTAATCTATTTCAAAAAAGATCAACACTTCATACTTTTATATATAGCCACAAAAATCGCACGTCATATTCAAAATCACAAATTTAAAAAATCTTACTTTTTTTTCTTAAACTTCGTAACCTATAAAACACTGTGACAAAAGGGTAGTGTGGTCAATGCAAATGTATTACATTATAGAAAATCAATTTTCAGTTTCTGTAAACACAAGATTTTCTTTTCTAGTTTGTATAAGAAGAACTGTAATGTAAAATGGACATGCAGTTATGCTGAATATATGAACTTTCTAATATCAAGTGATTTCAATCATGAACCAAACTCTATGTGCTTACTGCTTTGCTTTTTCCTTTTTGTTGTACTAATGAACTATGTTGCTCCGACTCTCCTAAAATATAATGATGTCGCACCTGTGTTGGTTCCTTGAGAAATGCAATACTTTGAAGAATCCAACAAGTATCTGTTGGCATTTTTGAAAAGTCCGGGTATCATAGCTAATTAATAAGTTTGGTGTGTGGATCACTTATGTCAACTTGAAACAGAAACATAACTTGAATAACCATTGATACTAAAATAACTCATATATAATTATGTTTCTATCAAACATATACAAACAACAAACAGAATATTAAAAAGACAAAAACAGAACCAGAGAAGTTCACTAATTAGTCCACAAAATCAAACAAAGACAAGTTGGCCCCTCTCAATCTTCCATTAAGTCCGTCGTCTCTGAGCTCTCTTCTTTGGCCTTCTTCTTTTCTGAGGCATGAGTCCATCAAAAAATTCCACTAACCATTTTGGCTTACGATATTTAAACATGAGACTCCACATGACAGTTCCAACAACTAGTCCAAAACTGTAGCCTATGACTACTGATTCCCATGTAAATCCACTAAAAAAATAGGACTCCAATGCTTGAGGAACATGTGATGAATCTCTCGTTCCACATTGTTTTGATAAAGGAGGACCACATAAATCAAGGTTGCCGCCATACGAGTCATTTTCAAATGTGTTGAACTGTAGACTGTGAGGAATTGGTCCGACGAGATGATTTTGAGAGATGTTTAAGAAGGCCAGAAAGTTCATTCTTGTTAATTCCTGCGGAATCTTTCCAGTGAGCCAATTCCAGGAGAGATCTAAAGCTTCAAGTGTATTCAATTGCCCCAATTCCATTGGAATATGACCTATGAGATTGTTATGGGATAAATTGAGTAGCCAAAGTGAGCTGAGATCTTTTAGTGTTTCCGGAATGACACCTTCAAAATGGTTGCTTGAGAGATCTATGGTTGTCATAATTGTGCTGATTCTTTGTAGCTCAATAACGTGCCCTTTGATTACCAAACTCACTGATTCCTCATACGATGCGATAGATGACAAATTCGACATAGATTCCATGTACCTGATCTCTCTTGTGTCTTCGTCATCTAATTTGATCATTGCCTTGAAGTTTCCAAAAACTTTTGCAGGAAGTGAGCCACTGAAATCATTACGAGAAAAATAAAAAATTCGCAACTTGGGAAAGCAAAACTTAGTTTGACACGTACTTATAGGTCCATGGAACTTGTTCGACTTTAATATAAGGACCTGCAGCTCTTGAAGAATTTCAAGCCAAGATGGAAACGTGTCATTTATAGCATTGTTCCCCACATCAAGAACTTCTAAATTATGACATTTGAGCAACGACACAGGGACAGGTCCTTCAAATCGATTACCATTTACGACTATTAGTTAGTTGCTTTAGGACTGCAGGATCTATTTCTAAGTTTCCTGTATTTCTTTTTTCAGTTATTTTAGGGGTAGTTACCATGGTTAGTACCATGACTTAAAAGTAGGACCATGATCTATATCAGTTACTTAATTGTATGTTTATGTATTTTTGGTTGATTTTACTGAAATACAACTTTCTGCATAAGCTTTTCTCTTAGTTATCTTCACATTTAAATTCCTTGTATTCTCCTGCTTTCCTTTCTGTAGCAAACTAGACATTGTCTTCATTGTGTTATCTGTCATTAGTCTTACTAAAAACAGTTGGTATCAGAGCTTTCATCTTAAGGGATTTGTGATCGAGTTGGAGTAGCCATGGATGCTGAAGCAAGTTTCTCACCAATTGCTCCGCCGGTCTTTGATGGAGATAATTATCAGATTTGGGCAGTATGAATGGAGACGTACTTGGATGCTTTGGATCTCTGGGAAGCTGTGGAAGAGGATTACGATATTCCAGCCCTACCAAATAATCCTACCATTGCTCAGATTAAAGCACACAAGGAACAGAAGACAAAGAAATCGAAGGCCAAGGCATGTTTATTTGCTGTTGTATCGTCAATAGTTTTCACGCGAATAATGTCTCTGAAAACTGCTAAAGAAGTATGGGATTATCTTAAGGAAGAGTATTCTGGAGATGAGAGAATAAAAGGTATGCAAGTTTTAAACTTAATTAGGGAGTTTGAATTGCAAAAAATGAAGGAATCTGAAACAGTGAAGGAATATTCGGATAGACTTCTAAATATTGCAAAAAAGGTGAGGCTACTCGGCTCTACATTTTCAGACTCGAGAATTGTTGAGAAGATCCTTGTAACAGTTCCTGAAAGGTATGAAGCAACAATTACAACCTTATAAAATACTAAGGATTTGTCAAAGATTAGTTTGACAGAGTTGCTCAATTCCCTGAAAGCTCAAGAGCAAAGAAGACTCATGAGACAGGAGGTTACAACAGAAGGGGCACTTGTCAGTAAGCATCAGGTTAACAAAATTCAGAAGAAGAAAAAGAATCAAGCAGTGTGTGAAGGAGAAACATCAGCCAACAACAAAACTAAGGGAGGAAGTGCGAAAAAAAGTTATCCCCCTTGTCACCATTGTGGAAGAAAAGGCCATGCACCATTCAAGTGTTGGAAGAGACTTGATGCTAAATGTAAGAAATGCAATAAGCTTGGACACGAAGCAGTGATTTGCAAGAATTAGGCCCCGCAGGAGGAAGGAAATGCTCAAGTTGTTGATCAAGAAGAAGAAGATCATCCTTTTATTGCAACATGCTTTTCAAGTAAGAGCTCAACAGATTCTTGGTTAGTTGACAGTGGTTGTGTCACGCCCCGAACCTACACCCTGGACGTGGCCGGCACTCGAACACCATTGTTGGCCCCCAAGCGAACCCTTGGCCTGGCTTTTCTTAACTCAACAGAAACTTAACTCAACAGCATAACTCAATGCAATGAAAGGTCATAAAACAACCTAACTGACAAAAGCTAGCCAAAAAAGCAACTCGCGTCTCAAAATAGAATATTATATATATACATAGATGAGAGACTCAAAACTTACTGACTGACTGTCTGTGAAGCCTCTAAAAATACTGAGATGGATGTTGGGACAGACCCCGCAACACCCTAATAAAACAAAACTAAGAACACAAAATAACCGAGTCCTATGGAAAGCAAGGAGGACTCATGAATAACTGAACTCAATATATAAAGCAATAAGACACATGCAATATATAAAGCTTGTAAAACTCTTAAAACATGACGTAAAAATCATATTTTTAATATCATGAAAATACCATGCTTCCTCTCAAGGTCTACTTGTGCAATGTATGAATGAAGTCCCATACCCCCATTCATACTAAGCAGAACTCCTCGAGGAACCAAGCACTTTCTACTGCTGTGGGAGTTTCTCTATCCGACAACCATCATTTAAGAACTATAGTGATGATACAGCGCTTTACCTCGCACTGCCGAGGCCCATCCTATACCTTGCCGTGATATAGGAAGCTAACTTTACTAAGTGGATCCACTAGCTTAACTTACGTGATTATCTAAAAAGTATGACCCGTTAAATCCCATGTTGGCCACATGGTTCTTATGGAGAGTTGAGTTAATATGAACTCATGTCCCCAACTCGGTGCTCAAGACTACTCCCAAAAATATATTTTAGCTCATAAGTGTTTTAAACAAATCTTTCTTTAGTTGAGATAATTACTCAAACTTAGCCCAAAGGCTCTTTTTGGAGAACATGGTTCCCTTCTTACTCAAATGTAAAAACATTTATAAACGTCTTTGGGAATACTTAGGTCCCTAATAGTTTTTGAGAAATGAACTCAACTTTATACTCTTGACTTAACTTGAAACCTGAGACTCTTTACTTAGCTTGAAGCTCTATACTCTTTACTTGACTTGAAACTTGAGCCTTAAAATGAAGTTAGAACGTTCAATAAAGACTCTTGAACACCTTTGAAAACTTGCTTTGACTTGCTTCTTAACTTCTAGACTTGACCCTTAACTTCACTTTGACTTGATCCTAACTCGCCTTGAATTGGATTATGGATTCAAGGTATATGATCACATGTTTATCGATGAGTTCTTGACGTTTAGACGTACCTTGGAGTGTTGGAAACAACTATGAAACATAAGTACAATACTAAGGAACATGCATGAAAATGTGGGGAATGAATGGGAAAGGTTGGCGTCCTTGTTGCTCTGAGAGGCGCGGGGCGCCAGCCCTAAAACTTCAGAGGGGCCTGCTGGCGCGCTGCTAGGTGCGCCGCCCCAAGGGGGAAAGTTCAGAACCCCTTTTGGGGCGCGCTGGCAGGCGCGATGGCCCACCCCTTTTCCCTCGAAAATTCGACTTTTCTTCCTTGTTTTTCCAATTCTAAACCTTCCCAACTTCAAAGTTTCCAGCCCCAAACACTTAATATCATAAAACCCCTCAACATACAATATATTTAACCCAGAAACACAACCGAAAACATGCCCAAATCAACAAGAACTTCAACACAATCACAACCAACAACTTCAACAAACACAATCAATCTTTTCTCGAAATTAAAACGAGATTGGCGTGTGGGGGAAAGAACCAACCCAACACTATGAACTCACATACCTAGTAGGGATCACCCCCGACGATATCCACGACGATCTTTGATGAATCCTTGCTTGATCCCCTCTTTCTCCTCTTCTTCTCCTCTTCACTCACAAACCCTCTCTCTTACTCTTTAAAATGGGAAAAACTAATCCAAAATCAGTCTAACACACTAATATAACCAAAAGAATTGGTTAGGGAAAAGACCAAAATACCCTTACAATTTCGGGTGAACTTTCCTATACCAACAACCCAACTTCCAAAGGGCATAACTCACTCATACAAACTCGGAATCGAGCAAACTCGGCAGTGTTGGAAAGATCATTCCAAGGGCTTCGCAAAAATAACTGGAACTACACCTAACTTATCCTGATCTAGGAGTTATGACTGTTCAAAGTTGGCCAAAAACTCATTTTTTTCCCACACTTAACCAAATTTCCAGATTTGAATTCTTTCCAAAAAGTGACTATTTCCAATTCTCAGCCTCGTCATAGCTATTTTCAAATTTCCGGATACTACAGGTTGCACTAACCACATGACTCATGACGAGAGTTTATTCAAGGAGTTGAAGCCCACTGAAATTTCGAAGGTTTGGATAGGAACTGGAGATCACCTTCCTGTCAAAGGAATTGGAACCATAGCTATCAAGACGAGCACTGGCACAAAGAAAATTTCAGAGGTTCTGTATGTTCTTGAAATTGATCAGAATTTGCTAAGCGTAGGACATCTGATGGAAAAAGAATTCAAGGTTTTCTTCGAAGATCATCACTGTCAAATCAGTGACACTACTGGAAATGAAATTTTCAGGGTGAAGATGAGAGGAAGGATTTTTTCCTTTGATCCAACAGAGAAAGAGTGACTAGCTTATTCCATGAAGGCAAGTGTAACGGAAACCTGGCACAAGAGACTTGGCCATTGCCATCTACAAGCACTATTGTTGCTGGAGAAGGAAGATATGACAAGAGGACTACCAACTCTAGTTGATCACTTACCAAGTTGTCAAGCTTGTCAATTTGGTAAGCAGAATAAGAAGTCATTTCCTAAAGCAACATGGCGGACTTCTCAAAGGTTGCAACTGATTCACACAGATGTTGCAGGACCTCAAAGAACACCATCCCTTAATGGTAGTCTATACTACGTTATATTCATTGACGACTATACAAGATTCTGCTGGATTTTTTTTATGAAATATAAATCAGAAGTGGCTGGAATTTTCTTGAAGTTCAAGAAGATGGTGGAAAATCAAAGTGGTTGCAGAATCCAATCTCTGTGGTCTGACAATGGAAAAGAGTATAATTTTGAACAATTTAACAAATTTTGTGAGAAAGCGGGTATTACTCATCAGCTTACTGCTCCATATACTCCGCAACAAAATGGAGTTAGTGAAAAGAGAAACAGATATATAATGGAGATGTCGCGGTGCATGTTGCATGAAAAAGAGTTGCCGAAAAGTTTTTGGACTGAGGCAGCTAATACGGCAATATTTCTCCAAAATCAGCTTCCTACTAAAGCATTGTTGAATAAAACTCCATTTGAGGCTTGGAATGGATACAAACCATCACTAAGCTTCACTAAAGTATTTGGTTGTGTTTGTTTCTTCCATGTGCCACAGGTTAAAAGAGACAAACTTGACAAGAAGGCACTTCCTGGAATATTTGTGGGTTGTAGCTCATCCTCCAAGGCCTACAAAGTATATAATCCACAAACAGGGAAGATGATTGTCAGTAGAGATGTGCACTTTGTTGATGAAGAGAAATGGGACTGGAAGGACAATCAACTTTCAGTCAAAGCTTCAGAGGAGCAGGCATCGGATCACTGGAAAAATGAGTTGGTGGATGATCTTCCAATTAGAGGTACAAGACTACTCTCTGACATCTACCAACAAAGTAATGTGGCAGTTTGTGAGCCTGCAGGGCACGATGAAGCACTTCAAGATAAAAAATGGAGAAAACGCCAATGGAG